TTTTTTTTGCTCGGGAGGTGTCCACTGCAGCAGTGAAAACGGTATTCATATAAAATAAAACCCGAGAAACTTTTGCAGCAAGAAGCGTAGTGGCACAAAAATCATAATTTAAACATCATGATGTGGAGACTACGCCATATTCCTTAGATACGATTATCAAATACTTTTACATATAGCTAAAGAAAAATTCTTTCTTCACTTTCATTCGATTGTTTTGTTTTGATGAGGCTGACGCGAGTGTTGGGCGAGGCCTGGGGCGGTGGTTCTTTTCGCAATGTAGTCATAATATTAGGGGTGAATGGGTGTACAATAATATAAAATTCTCTGCTTTCTCTCTCTCTCTCTCTCTCTCTCTCTCTCTCTCCTCTCTCTCTCTCTCTCTCTCTCTCTCTCTCTCTCTCTCTCTCTCTCTCTCTCTCTCTCTCTCTTGCATTTGGTCCATAGACCCGTATTTACAATTCATGAAAAAATGTTACGACATACCATTCTTACGTACAATATTTGATATCTTAATATTGAGGTATCCCGTAGTTATTTATGTAGCCTTTAATAGCATCCCTTGAAATTGATATCCCGTCATTACATGTATCCTTTGATAACATATCTTGGAACTGATGTATCCCGTTGTTATATGTGGCCTTACCTGTCCTAAAGCACTTGTAGAGACATTTTCCAAGACAGTAGTTGAAATTCATGTTAAAGTCAGTAGTTATTTGGTCTGCGAACCTCCATGCCAGGGGTTCCCAACCTAAGGGCCACGGGGTCCTTTCTGGTGGGTCATGGAGCAATATGGAAAATTTGATGTCTAATGAAACTGAATTTCATCCCACCTACAATACCTACATATAATCCATTGGAATATTTCCGTATCGCGTTCTGGTCCTGTAGCTATTGACACTATTACATTATTCATAACTAGACATTTACTGAACAGGGCCATGAAGATAATGTATTGGTCGGCGCCACAGAACGGAAAAGGTTGGACCCACTGCTCTATACGAGGTCAATGGCTTGATGTTCTTTAAGAATCTTGTGTCTAGATTCAAATATTTGTCTTTTTGTGTTGTGCTTTCTTAGTATAAAATCAACATACACAAATCTTTGTAACTGATAGTCAAGATAAGTTTAGTGTATTAATTATTTAGTGTATTAATCTTGGGTCAGTGATGAAGACATATTATATAACCGTTCGTTAAATGTAAATGTATCGTGTTCCCCATGAATGAAATAAGATTCATATTACAATGTAATAATCAACACCACAAGTATACTCCATAGTGTTGTACACTGCATTACGTAACCACCGATATTTGGTTCGCAACGGACTGAAACACTGAGGCTCCATGCCAGTCAGTTGGTGATAAATTCTAGTGTTTACTGAGCAAGCCTTTCGAGAACTATCGATTGCCTATATAGGGGAATACTTTTTTGTGAGAACAGTCCCATTTAAATTCTTGAAAGTCTGTTATTTTAACTATTTTACATGCAACGGCACAATGGGTCTCAGCCTCTGACGATATTAATTGGGAACAATAGTAATGATATTTATTGTTGTTGTTGTAATTATTAGTATTACTACTAATAATAATAATAATATTATTCTTTTCATAGTATTTAACATCCCAAGATATTTGATCAACAAATCCTCACTATAACACATATGCACCTTAACACTAGATTTCTGAAAGTAATGACCCCTGGGACATGTCCAGCTCCCTCCTGCTGGCGGAAAGAGCAATGCAACTCCACCATGGAGTCCCTTTTCTTTCCATGTTTATGCTATATATATATATATATATATATATATATATATATATATATATATATATATATATATATATATATATGTGTGTGTGTGTGTGTGTGTGTGTGTGTGTGTGTGTGTGTGTGTGTGTGTGTGTGTGTGTGTGTGTATGTGTGTGTTATTTTCTCTTTCTCTTTAACTCTATTAGATAATTGTTCCATTTAATTGTACTTTTCTTATTATTTATTGCTTTTCATGTTATCTCTATATGATGAACAATTACTTCACTTCTTTGCAATACTTTTGCAATATGTAATCATCATCTTCCTCAGATTTCGCCTTTTTTGTAAACCTTTTCATTTTGTTCTTATTCTAGTTATTTCCTGCTTCTTTTCTTGGGTATTCATTATTCATGTAACCTTGTTTGGTATAATTACGTTATTTTGAAATATATATTAATATTATATATTCTTTCTTTTGTAAAAATTTATTTAGCTTTATCATGTTTTCTCCACATAATTGTACTTGTTTTACTGCAGGTCCGTTTTATGTATTTGAAGTATCACAGTTTATATATGTCTTTGTTTTATTTTTATATCTCAGTAACACCAAAATGCCCGGTCAGATTACACTGTATATGTGATAGCACCTATAACCTGTTTACACCTAATACAACTCAATTTCAATTTCGGTGTGTAAACCGTCTGTTCCAACTTCTGCATCTGAAATACACACCTTTTGGGGATGTGTTCCCAGGCACAAAGAAACGGCGGTTAACAGGTTGGCAACGCTGACGAGGAACTTTTAGATAGAGATGACCTGCATATCAATGAAAAGTGAGCTATGCACTTAAGGCTTGGCGACTTAATGGCTGACAGGATCAATTTGTGGGTGTTTCTAGGTTGGTTTATATTTGCCATCCCTCGGCCTCTGTCGGGTTGTTGTCCATTTCAAGGTGGTTTGCTTAATACGGTTTCTTTGAGTGTAAGTAAGACAGGGTGGATGTTTCTTTTCTATGTGTGTGTTTAATGCGTATTTTTGATAAGTAAATTATACTCTTTAGTTAAGACGTAGCCAGTATTTTTCTTTGCACTTTAAGACACAGTGTTCAAAGAAAAAAATATTTTTGCATTTCGACAATGCCTAACATATACAACGTGCAAATGTGTTCTTACATGATGCATGCTAATTTATCTTCCGCGGTTCCTCAGGCAGCACTCACGTTATTTGGCCCGTACCTTCGAGAACCCAAACTTCCTGTGTATTTTCAAGATCGGTGGCGTTTGCCTTCTGAACATGATTACGAGCATCTATATCATCATTATTATTATTATTATTATTTTCTATTGCTTTTACTATTTTACTCCATGCACCATAATACTGAATATTCTTTCAACTGGGGAAGACTTGACTACAACCTATTTTAGAAATCATTCGAAAATTTGTCGTTTTCTTATACATGTTGTCCTTATTTATCTGTAAGACAGGCCCTTCGGCAATATTTATACATTCTATTTTTTAAAAGACGAGACTGGGACACCGATTAGAAATAAGATCGCATCCTCTGTACCATGAGAGAAAATCGAAGAAAATTCTACCTTCTTGTATTCCTGTCTATAATACAGAAGAAAAAAACGATTAAATGAGAGAAAATCGAAAAAAGAAATCTACTTTCTTGTATTCCCGTCTAAAACACACAAAAAAGAAAATAAATGAGTGAAAATCGAAGAAAGGAAACTCTTTTTGTATCCCCAGGTCTGAATTATAGAAAATCAATTAAAAGAGAAAATCCCCAAAAAAAATTACCCTCTTGTATTTCCAAGTCTAAAATACAAAAAAAAAAAAAAAAAAAAAATGAATGAGAGAAAATCGAAGAAAGTAAATCTACCTTTTTGTATCTCCGTCTAAAATACAGAAAAAAAACACAATTAGATTCGCCGTTCAGAATACATCATCATCCCCTAACAACGTCCATCCCCAAGTACATACGATTCATACCTGGGTCTCCTCCCCATCATTCAAGCCACATATTCCATCCCCTTACCCAGCCCGACGACTTACATGAACTTAAATCATCTAATTGATATTCAGGGATGATAACCATAATCGTTTCGACCTTGAATGGCCCAGGAAAGGAGAGAGAATTCCTCTTCGTCCTTCCAGATGTTCCAGAGTTCTTTAGAGACGAGGAAAAGAAGGAAAAAGCGGGGAAGAAAACGAAACAGTGCTGAGTAATGGAACCCTTCGATAAACATCTTGGAGACGATGAAAAAAAAACAAAAAAACGTCGATAATAAATGGGTGTGCTTCCTCTTGACACCTGTAAGAACCGGTTTCTTTTGCTTCCCGCGGTCTAATCTTCTTGTCCATAGTTGTATTATATTTCTGTTTTCTCTTCTTCTTTTTTTCTCTTTCTTTCTTTCTTTTTTTGTGGAGGGGGTAACCCTTCTTGAGTTCAGTTAAGCGTGTTTGTCTAAGTAATGTGATGTCGTTTTCAGCAAGGTGGGTGGCGTGTGTGTTTGTGTGTGTGTGTGTGTGTGTGTGTGTGTGTGTGTTGTGTGTGTGTGTTGTGTTGTGTGTGTTTGTGTGTGTGTGTGTTGTGTGTGTGTGTGTGTGTGTGTGTGTGTGTGTGTGTGTGTGTGTGTGTGTGTGTGTGTGTGTGTGTGTGTGTTTGTATGTGTGTGTGTGTGTGTGTGTGTGTGTGTGTGTGTGTGTGTGTATGTGCGTGTGTGTGTGTGTGTGTTTGCGTAAGCGCGTGCGTGTATGTGTGAGTAAGCGTACTGGTGTGTGAATTTGTCTAAGCGGGTGTGTGTGTGTGATTGTGCGCGCGCGTATATATGTGTGTGTAAGTACGCGCATCCGCGATACACATACGTACAATATATTCTCAAATGAAATATACCTGTACCTCTCCCACTACAGGAGGAAAACCTGTTTTTATTCAATCTCCTGGCCTTCCAGTATCATTTTAACACTGGTTGACGGGGCAATAAGGTTGCCAAACATGTTTTATCGCCGAAAAAATCTGTTCAATACTCCTCCCATCTCTTCTCTCGTTTTTCTATCTTTACTTCTATTCTCTCTCTCTCTCTCTCTCTCTCTCTCTCTCTCTCTCTCTCTCTCTCTCTCTCTCTCTCTCTCTCTCTCTCTCTCTCTCTCTCTCTCTCTCTCTCTCACCCTCTTTCCTTTCTTTCCCCCTTTCGTCTCTCCTCTTTCCAATCAAGTGGTGAAAATGAGGAATATAAAATACATGAAACTTTGTTTACATTCTTTATTTATGCTCATGATGAGGTGTAGTATTTTTCGGAATGATTTAAGGGAAACATATCATATTTACACAGTAATAAAGGAAGAAAAAGAAGAGATTTACAGCGTCTAATGAAATGTGCATGTGCTATACATCAGTTCGTCGTGGTGAAAGAATTATTACTTATGACAAATACGGCAAAAGGAGATGTTTATGAGGCTTCGAAGCGATCTTTCTGTTGTCATTAGCCACTTCGCCCTCTTCTTCATATATCGGTTGTTGTTCTGATATTATCATAAATAATACTACTTCAATCTATTGTATTTTTCCTTGTCTCGTGTCCTCGATGTGGTCCTCCCACTCCGTGTGCTTCTTCCTCCCCCTTTTCCTTTTCGAAAATTTTGATTCTCCTTCACAGCCCCTTTGGCTACTTCTCCTCCTCTTGACTCCGTGTCTTCTGCTTCTCCCCCTACGTCTCCGTCTGCGTCTGCCTTCCGCCTACCCGTGGTGGACAAACATCCCTCTCGAGTGGGGCATCTGGACGAAGGACCCGCTCACTTTGGCGTCGGCGAGGGAGCCAGTGTCCCCCGTCGAGGCCCTCTCGCCGTCGGGGGTATCGAAGCCGAAGAAGTCGCTGCCCTGAATCCTGAGCATGAACTTGAAGGCGGAGGGAAGGATCTTCTCGGCGCGGTCCAGCCTCTTCAGCTCCTTCTCGGTCACGGTCCGGCCCTCGGCCTTGGCCACGGCGAACAGGATCCTGCGGGTCACGGGCATGAACGCCATCAGGACCTCGAAAATGTTCTGCGAGTCGAAGGGGTCGGCCTGAGAGCGAGTCATCTTGCTGGTCAGATCTGTCATGGTCTTGGCAACCTCGGGCAGGATGTCGATGGTCGCCGCCACCACGTTCTCATGCTCGCCCAGGCTCTTCGCCCTCGCCGGCCGCAGCACGCCCAGGGCCTCGTACCTCTGGGCCGAGACGGCACACGCGCACGTCGCACAGGCTAGGAGGATCTGCGGGAAACGAGAGCTGCTTTACAGGATTCACTCGGAAATTCGAGTTTAAGAATATCAATTATAGTAAATATGATAAAGACCACCATAAATACAACAATAATAATATGACCAGAACAAGAATCTCTCCTAAATTACAAGAGAACTGCAAACTCCATGAACTATAAATAGAACACTCAAAAGCGAATTACAGAAGCAATATTACCCCTTTAGATCCTACAGAACGAATGAAAAGAAACGGAAAAGAAAAAAAAAACGACAACAAAAACAAGATGCACTCACCCGGAGGTACATCTTAGCAACAGAAATATGAGACTGGAATGAAGACGAGGCAGCGCTGGCATCGCTTATATAGAGTTCGTTCCGCCCGAACAGTTGCCAGCGGGTGCAGGAGCACTTGAAGGATCTGCTTTGCCCGAAGGTTAGAGCTTTGCGGAAGCGCAGGTGCTGGCTGTGGGAGAGGTGTGTGGGATATACGTCTCTGTCCTTTCTTTCTCTCATCTCGTTTTCTCTCTCTCTCTCTCTCTCTCTCTCTCTTTGACTGTTGTTACTTATAACAATTTATTTCCCTGTCACTGTTTTTTTCTCTCTCTCTCTCTCTCTCTCTCTCTCTCTCTCTCTCTCTCTCTCTCTCTCTCTCTCTCTCTCTCTCTCTCTCTCTCTCTCTTTCGCCCTCTCTCCCTCTCTCTCTCTCTGTTTCTGTCCTTTTCCCCATTGCTCACTTTGTCTGCCTGACTCTCTCCCTCTATCCTGTACCTCTCCCACTACATACATCCCATTAGTACAAAAAAAGGCCATAACTTTAAATCCACAGTAACTTCCTCAACGCAGTACCCCCTCCCCCCTCAAACGGTCATCAATGCCCCCCCCCTACTCGACCGGACCAGAAGTCCCTATATAAAGGATGCACTCGCTCCCCGGCCACACACAACCTTCGACCCCGCTCTTGGACGTCGCTCAGCCACACATTGCAACATGGTCTTTAAGGTTGGCAGAGGCAGGCTCTCACGCAGGCACGCACGCACACTCACTTGCGTGGCGTGTCAGCGTGTGTGTATAGAATCTATGTAATAGTTTTGTAATTGCATATGTGTATTTGAATTTTCGTGTGTTTGTATATATATATATATATATATATATATATATATAATATATATATATATATATATATATATATATATATTATATATATATATATATATATATATATATATATATATATATATATATATATATATATATATATATATATATATGCATATATATATACATTTACACATACATGTATAGATACATATGTAAATTTTATTTATTCATTTGTATTGTAGTGTATATATTATGTAAATATATATACACAAATAAATCCAAATGTATGTACATACATATGTACATACCTATCTACAAATATCTATATATATTATAGACATGCATATTCATATATTTATACATATACTTATAAGATACAGCATTTATCATATGTGCATAAATATTACTTACATATAATTATATGTATATACTTATATTTATACATAAGTGTAGCACATATGCATATAAATATACATATATACACATACATATAAATATACATATATACACATACATATATTTATGTCTGAATAAATAAACACACACATATATTTATATTCATAAATACATAGATACATACATAAATATACACCCACACACATGTATATATAAATATACATATATTTATTTATAAATATTCACATATATATATGTGTAAATTATATATATGCATATATACATATACATATACGTGTGTATATATACATGTGTGTGTTGGGGGGAGTGTGCAATATGTATATATATAGATATATAGATATATAAGATATAAATGTATGTCTTCCTTCATGCCTTGTCATTGACCTGCGCTGACTTTCTTCTGTGCAGGTCCTCTTGGTCGCAGCCGCCGTGCTCTGCCTCGGCCGGGCGTCCCCGCAGAGGTACCAAGCCCTGGGCGTCCTGCAGCCCCAGAACTCTCGTGACCTGGGCGACTACGAGAACATCGTCGCCGCCACCATCGACGTGCTGCCCGAAATCGTCAAGGTCTTCAGCAAGATCACTCAGGCCCGGGGCAGGCCCAGTGAACCCCAGATCATCAATAGGGTCATGACAGAGTTCTTGCCCATCACACGCAAGGTCATGGAGGCCACGGAGAAGGTGGAGGGCACCAAGATCCCGGACGACACGTACCACCGCTTCAACGCCGCCGAGAGGGTCATGCCTCACGTGGTCACCTTCATGGAGCAGCTCAGGGCCATGGACTTCTTTGGAATCTCCACCACCACGAAAAGGTCCATTTAACGTCTGTAGCGTTGCTATCCACTCGACTTCGAACGAGCTCTTTGGCAGTTCCTCTCTCTCTGTCATCGTGTCCCCTCTTCCATTGTTTGATTTGGTTTCTATCGCATTTATGTTCATATGTAAACAGTATCTCTTCTTAAAGCTGTCAGTCCAAATCTCTCTGCTAGAGGTATCCTCTAAGTAAATATTAGTATAGAATTGTACAGTGTACAAGTAAAGATATATAAACACAATAAATTTTGTATCATTGCATCCGATCCCATGATGAAAATTCAAATCAGATAAGATGCAAGAACATTAAGAGAAGTGACGAAGGTAACATAAATAAGGAATGTTCTGAATGAAATCGATCGGTTTTTGTGTTGTTAATAAATTGTCTTTCGCGAATAACAATGATATAGACTAAATCTTCCATGTGATTACCATTGTTCTTATGACATAATGTTTCTTCTTTAGTCAGGTACTCTAAATATCTACGGTTCCCATATCTATAACCTAAAAATACTT